ATAAACGGTTGTCAAAGTGCTTGATTAAAAGTTGGAAATAACTCTCGATGGTATGATACTGAGTGAAACAAATTTAATTGGTGCTTATGAAATTGAGTGGAATTGTGTAGAAATAACTACCACTATAAGTCTTGACTTATTAATTTCCCTTTCCACTAAAAAAGTTGTTTCTCGATATAAATATACAATAATTAGTACAGTAAAATAAATTGTAATATTAAATAGTGAAATATTTATAATAAAGAAATAATAGTTTTTGAATAGAATAAATATAAACAACTGATTCTTATGTCGTTTACATACTCTTGTACTTGCTGTAATTTACGATATTAATTTCTTTTTTAAAAAGAATTATAACAATCTAATAAAATAATAAAGTATCGTATATTCTTCTCTCGTTAAGTCGAAGAAAATGAAATTTTGTTGTAATCATTCAACAGTCATCCTAAAAATTTGTTAACGTATTTCATTTAGACTACTGTGAAACAATTATATAAATAGCATTGATATATAATGTTTGGAAAAAATTAAACTTTCAAAAAATAAATAAATCTTCGCGTTATACGCACATTTAAAAAGGAGATAGGTAAATGAAACCCTTGTTGAGTTTTGAAGCATATGAGATTCTATTGAGTCGAGCATTCAGCTGCCCACTAGTATTCGATATGAGATTCAATTGATCAAAACTGCGAACTTTACTGTGAATACATTCTACAAGATAATACTGTTGTTGTTGCAAAAAATGATACTTTGACATTTTATGATAAAATATTGTTCACTTCTTTACTATAATTGACCTATTAAAATTGTTTTTAAATGCAAAAACAATACATCAATTAATTCTATTGTTAAATTTCTATAAGATTTTCGTCGAAAAAATATTTAAACTACAAAAAAGGCAGATATGTATAAAAATCCAGTTTTCATATTGGAGCGTAGAACAATAGCTTTGAAACACTTGACCGGATCATTGACTATTGTGACCGTTCCATTCAAAAGACTAACCTCAACAACAATTGAATTTCAATGTAACATTTTCTTCATAATGTTTTTAAAACAACAGTCTATTTAAAAAATGCAACGCAATAGATTACACATACTTCTCAACTCGTCACGGCTTCTTAACATAAAACGTTTTAAACGATTTTAAAATTCCATTTAAAATAATTAAAAAATTCTACGGTTCCTTTCGTTCATTCAACTTCATACCAATTCCTATATTCTCCAATCAAACGGTTTTTAAATTTTTGTCTCTCCTTTTATTTCTGTTTCCATTAACAAAAATTAATCATCTAACTTCTTTACTTTTATTTTATAACCAGTTAATTGACTAACTGTGGTAGGAATAGATACATACAAAGTGAGTACATTTAGTTTTAAGTATTTAACACCTGCCGTCCCAAAATTAGGTATACTGGGTCGCGTAATATGAAATGTCACATTTTTCGTACTTATAAATGTTTGTTCTCCTCTTATTGTTATTTCCTTGTTTTCTATGTAACCTCTGAAACAGTTTCATTGTCGATTATCAGAGTAACTTTTTGCAAACAAGTTTTTCCAAATTGTACATAATAACTATTTCTTGCATCGTTTTTCGAAATCACGAAAATCAGCAACATTCGTGGTAATTTTCTTATATAAATTCAGGCTGGAAAATAATACTGCAAGAACCACTCAAAATGTAAACAAAGTATTCGAAAATAATACTGTGAATGAAAGAACAGTGCAGCGTTGATTTGCAAAATTTCGTACCTAATTCCTGTGTAAAAATGAACCTCGTGGTAAACTCGAAACTCGAATTTTTCAAAAAGGAATATATTCATTAAAACTCCATTGGAAGAAGTGTGTCGAATTAAATAAAGCATATATTCATTAAATAATCGTCTTTTAGAACAAATAAAGTTCTCTTTCTTCCGCAACATTCGACACTTCATATTACACGATCAAATAATAGCACGAATAAGTTAACTGCGTTCGACGAGTAAATACACACATCATTTTAAACCGCAAAATAATACCAACTCTTTCAACGATGAATTATTTATTTTTTCAGACAAATAAAAGACTTCTGAAATTAACTTCCACAGTTAACAGATTGAAAATAATCCTATACATCTACATCTTACTAAATAAATACAATATTTTCATTCAAACCAGGGATACTCTATCAAAGGACACCGTCAAAGCGGGAGACAGTGGCGAAAACGACGAACCGAAGTTCAAATGTACAGACACGCGGTACGCGTTCGTTGCCGCGGGCGTTTCGTAATACGCAATTTCTGTTGGTGCAATTAAAACGCGCCACGACGTGGCCGGGCTGTCTGGCTGACGATGCCTGATGCCGCGTTGTAACGCGCGTCAGAAGCACGGTTGTCGGTACTTGTAACGCGTGGCGGCCGCGCGGCTCGCGTGACCACCCTCTCGCGCCGCTGGCCACCCCTGGCGGCGCTTTTTTGACGTAAAAGATTAAAAGGGAAACAAAGCGTAGAACACGACAAAGCGAAGCGTGGCGCGTCACGGAAACGCGGCCATGCGGCTCGGCGCCGAATGAACGCGCGTTACGGGCTATATTAACGCGTTGCCGGTAGTGGCGGCAGCAGCTTCATAGAATGAAGTTCCCAAGACCTGACGGAACAAGCAACCGCGATAATGGTTACGGAAGCGCGGCGAGAAGCCACCGATGGGAGGAAGATCCGACGAGTGCATCGAGGGCAGCGCCGGGTAATTAGAGGGTCGAGAAACCGTATGAAGCAGCGGAGCAACCTCAGATTAAGGAGATATTTGGTGAAAAAGGAAAACCGACAAAGACAAATAAGGGCCAGGGTAAAACCTCGGAGAAGGAAGGAAGTCGTTGGAAACCGATGCACTTTACGTATAGCTCTATCACTGATTCATCAGACGGAAAATAGGAAGCTAACGCTGGTCATACATCGCGCGACTCGTCGTTGGGTGAATCGTTTGAATCTCTTTCATCGTCACGCTAACTGAAAGGGACATTTAACCCATTCAAGGCTGGTAATGTAGTTCTATACGTCATTTCAAATTCTTGCTGAATACCGGTAACGTAGTCTTAGGACAGTTTTAATATTTTGAGAAGAATAATAGTAACCTGATTCTACGTCATTTTGCATTTTTTAGGATGCTCACTTGATCCCACGTCGTTTAAAGATCTGGAGCTAAATATTGACGATGTATTGCTATTATATAGTTTGGTGTTAATACACGTTTGTATAAAACATTGTCGTGAATGTGTTAATAAGGAAACTTCACTCTAAATACTTCCATTGCGATATCGTATCCCTCTATTTATTAGCGAGGAAATTGGTTAGACAAATTATTACACTAGTTCCACTTCGGTAATTGTTCGGTTGCATGTGAATAAACAGTACTACAGCTATTGATAGACGAAAAGATTACTTGTAACCGGCGAATACGACGCCATTCTTGACACGCTTCAACTCGATCGTAAGATCAGCTCGCCATTACGAGTCATTCACTGTCTATCAAATCTGCGCGCAAGAACAAACACTAAAATGCAGTACGGGAGGAGCGGCGGGTCAGATTCGATCGAGTATAATCAGAAGGCTTGCAATTTCCTTAAAATAGAGGTCAGCCCTTCTCGCAGGGCGGGCGCAATAAAAGAAGAGATAACGATCGAAATTACAAGGCGGGGACACGGGAAAAGGCGAGCGACAAACGATGCAAAGAGTGTAACGACGGAGGAGGCCAGCTAACAACGACTGACTGCGGATAGATAAAAAGTAGGACGAAGACGGATAAGAGGGACGATAAAAAGAGGGTGGGAGGGTGAAAGGTGTAGCGGGCGAGCCGTGTCCCCTATTGCATGTCGCGTATCCACCTTCCTGGCAATTTTATGTACACGGTAGGCGGATCGTTGGCTAGCTGGAAGTTTGAGATGAGAGGCTGGATAGCGTAGGTCAGCCGCCGGCAGAACGAGCTGCCGTATAACGAGAAAACTGCCAGTGATATCCGTCGACCAGGCGGAATTTCATTTTTACATCGCGCCGTATATTTCGTCCCCGCGGACGTATCTGGTTTCGATCATCGGCCCCGCGCCGTTTATCATTAGCACGCGACTCTTTGTTATCCTTTATCTTTTTAATTCGCCTGCGCTCGCGCGGACGCGTGCCGTATCTTTACTGCTATCTCTTTTTATCCCGATCGAACCTGCCCTCGGCCGGCGAGGTTTCCTTCCGCGCCGCGCCGCGCGGGAAGGGTGGAATTAAAACGTTAGCGAGTTAGCGAGATACCGCATCCGCAATTTTAATTATTAACGTATTGCCGCGAAGTAGAATGGAAGGGGCGCGGCGGTGAGTAAAGGGACTCGGGCTACGGCGAGTGTATTAATACCGGCGGCGCTGCGGCCGCGCAATGGGAACTGGTCTGGAGGACCTACGCGGACGGTTTAATGCGTTTTTATGTTTTTCGCGTGGTCCATTCAGTAGAGATAACATAGTTGAGCCGGACCGGAGAGGAGCAGATTCATTAGTTTCGAATAACGAGCGAGGCTCATGAACCCAGTTGACCGGTGTTCGTTGAATAAACATGTGGATCGCCATTGCCGAGGTGAGTAGCGCTGCATCCTACGTAAGTGGATGAGCATTAAAACGATTGTTTTATCGTCTTTATTATGCAAATTTTGAAATGAAACTGTTGCACAAAATGTTGGATATCAAATTAGTTTTCGTACAATAGCGTTTGAATATTTTTCTACGTCCTAATAAATGATATAACTCGATAACTACATTATCGGCCAATTACAATTGTACTAACGATGTTCACCTTTTATAACTATCGAACAACCAGAAAAACCAACGAAGAAATTGCTTCTCCGAAAAACATTATACAAATATCAATTTTAACTGAATATTCATATTTCATAAGTGTTCACAAGGATTTCACAAACAGTATTTGCAAATCTCAGTATTCACACACCTGACCAAATGATAAGGACGAAAAAGAAAATGCTATTGCCTCACCTTTCGGCGGATTGACGTGCAAGGCGGATTTGTACAGGCTCTCCTCGTCATACCAGTCGGCGTTTCTCAGCAGCGTCTTCGCTGACATCAAGCAGAGAAGTACAACACTGACTAGCAAAACGGTTCTGCCCCGCCTCCTCGATCCGCATCTTCTCGCTATCCGATAACAACCGGAGATAGCGGCTCCCACGATCAGGCAAGCGCCGACGCTCGGCAAGTATAGGATCCTCTCGGCTATGACGAATCCGACGTAGAAGAAGAGGTTGCTAGCCGGTAGGAAGGGAAGCACGAGGAAGCCGAGCGACACCGCAACGCCGGTGGCGGTGGCTTTTCTGTTGGCGAGTCCGTTGCTGGCGGTCAACGAGGAGCCACCGTTGGGCCTCTTGGCGCAGTGGCAGTCGCCGAAGGGCCCGTTGTTGTTGTTGTTCGCGGCGCGACAACCGTCCGTGTGGCATCCCCCGATGCGCCTGCCTGCGCAAACCGGACACCTGGAGGACACCGAGCGCGGGTACACCTGCACCAGGCTCAAAGACACCTCTCTAGGCGCGCGACGAAGTGTTTTAATCGCCCAGATCGAAGCACTGATCAGCGCTGCGTACAGGCAAGCTGATTCCAGGTTCCTGGCGTCGAAGAGGCTCGTTATGCGCGGCACTGCGTCCATCGACCAATCGAAGCTCAGTGTGCTGGGACACAGCAGCATTTTTGCACTAGCCGCAGGTAAATAGAGGAACGTCAGACCCCGTGTCAAACGAGACGGGTGTCTGGCCGTTGGATTGTCCGCGCTGGCGAACTCAGGCCTTGTCCCGGTGATCCTTAGCCTACCGAGGACTAGGAGGACTAAGCTGCCGGAGAGAATGCCGAGACTACGGTTACGGGTCAGGCTGCAGTTCACCTGGAATCAGACGAGAAGGGTGCTCTAAAAATCCATTGGAATTTAGTTGGGGTATTAGGTGCTTTGAAATGCTGTATAAATGAGAGGTAGAGGATTTTAGACGTGAAAACAAATTGTGCAAATTAAGGACTTGTTTTTTAGACATAAATAGATACGGTGGTTATTTTAACAAGAAATGAATGATTTAGAATTAATCGTAATTTTGTGTGTGCCATATTTAACTTTATAATACTTGGTTGAGAACAATTTTCAATGAAGTAATAAATTTATGTGGTTAGTGCAGGTCTAGTGGAATAATATTACATTTCATAGACCAAAGGATTTGCAGGTGAGAGATGTGAAATTCACTTTTGGCCCGAGACCTCAATTAAATGCGAGAGATGCTATTCCCAGTTAAGTGCGCGGACTTTTGAATAGACTCGCCAATGTGTTCGTGCATTATTCGTGATTTCCATTTGTTACCATACTGACCCGATTACTCCCTAGTTATTCATTTATATTAAATTGATATAAATTCTACTATTATTGTTTGGAAACTTTATTATCCAAACATTCTGATAACATGTTTTCTTATAAACATTTTTACACAGAAATAAGCTAAGAAATAATTTTGTTTGTAGCAGAATTTATTCTTATTTTAAACAAAATTTTCGTAGGGAATTATCGTATTTAGCTCGTGAAAATACTTTACAATGTGTAAGAACCGTGCGTAGCGCAATGTTCTTCTTTGTCGAAAGCCGATACAGAGCGTTCGGAAATTGGGACGCACGTGCGGAAATAAATTCCAGAAATCGGCGCGGTGCGCTCTTTAATCGAGAACCAACAGGACACGTGCAGTGTCTTTCAGGGCGCAAGTGTCAATTCTCGAAAATGTCGCGGCATAGTTCTGTCGGAAGCCGACACAGCTCTCGAAAATTGGAGCACACCTGTGGAAACGGTTTCGCAGAATTGTTCACGTGCTCCTGAACAAAAGAGTGCTTAAAAAGAGAGGCGATCTTCTATCGCCACGCATTCTGAAATCGATCGTCAGTCGCGTTCTGTCGAAGACCGGGCTGGTCATTTTGGTATCAAACTAAGTAATTATCACGCAGTGTACAATGAAGAGCAAAAGTGAACACACATACGATATTTTTTTAAAAATATATTTTTATTTAATGTTTGCATATAGAATAAAAAAAAACAAAATAGGCAGTATTAAGTAGAATATTTCAGCTTTCCAAAAAAATGTGAACAATCATGATATTATTATTATTTTGGTAAATACAAATTGTTTTGGTGTAGTCGGTTTTGCACCACAATTCATTTTCAAATAAACATTTCATATTTTTATGGATTTAATATTTTTTCTAGTAGCCCTTGGCCTTGGCAGTGGCTCGAATGCGTTTAGGCATACTTGAAATTATATTTTCGCAGTATTCTGGTGTAATAGAATACCACTGTTGTTGTACTCTTTGCCACAAATCATTTATTGTCGTTGGTGAAGCACTGTAGTCATTCGCTAATTTCATTTTTAAATACGCTCAAACATTGAGCAGGCCACGACATTGTTTGAAATTGTTGAGCGTCTAGCCAATTTTTGATGCTTTTTGCCGAATGTCCTGGGGCGTTATTGTGTTGGAAAACAACATCACATTCTTGTACCGGCATATTATCAACAACATCTAATAAATTCTGTACCAAAATGTTTTTGTAAGTGTACTGGTTCACCGTACTTTTAATTCGATGCAATGGACCTACTCTATATGCCGTAAGACAACCCCATATCATGACTGAACCACCGCCAAATTTAATTGTCTGTTTAACATGACGCAGCAAAAGGGTTTCACCTTTCCTTTTCCAACACCAAGAACGTCCATCCGATAAAACTCGATTTATTTTAGACTCGTCTGAAGAAATCAAGGTCTTCCATTGCTCTTCATTCCAAGTTATATATTTTTTGACAAAACTCAAGTGAGCTTTAACATTTTTCTTTGAAAGAGCAGGTTTCTTCTTATTTTCCATTGATATAAAATTAGATTCTTTTAATGCCCTTTGAGCCGCCCATTTGCTTATTTTCTTTCCAACTTCGCTTTCTAACAATTTTGCAGCCATTGACGCCGTCGTCGCGACTTCTGAAGTTATATATTTTGTCAATCGTCGCTTGTCTTGACAAAACTATTTCTTCGGACGTCCCCCTAAAGATATAGGAACATCATTACAATATCGTTTCCGTATTTTATGAACTACAGCTTGACTAACTGCAAACTTCTTGGCAACTTTTCTCGTTGATAAGCCAGATTTTAATTGAGAAATAATACTATCTTTCACAGTTTTAGATAATGGCTTTGGGACAATATGTTAATACATGTTACTGTACGAACAACAACAGTACAACTACTAAAGTACTCCCGGTTGAGAATAACATCGGTCACTGTTTATAAAAAGTATTTTTACGTTTCTTAGCTACAAACGTTTTACTGCGGTGCAAAACCGACCACACGGAAAAACTTTGTATTTATCAACACAATAATAATACCACGATCAGTAAAATTTTTCTGGAAAGCTAAAACATTCTACTTAATGGTATATTGCGCTATTCTATTTTTTTCCATTAAATGGTATGTATTTAATTTTTTACATTAAATGGCATGTATTTAATTTTTTTCCAAAATTAAAAATTCCATAACTTTGATAATAATGAAATTGTCGAGTTGAAATTCGTTTTTGTTATTTTCTTCGCTTGTATTGCCGACTGTATCGACCAATATAAGAATAAGTATAGACCATTCGAATTCGAATTCAACCTTTAACAGTCCGGATTTTATACGTTGAATACCTTTTTTCCAGTAATGGTTTAAATCAGACCGTTCGATCGTCGAGATTCTTCGCATAATTCCCGATCGCAATCGAAAGATGGTGGTAGCTGTCGTCTATAGTAAAATATTCAAACCTTTTTAATGGACCGGCATTGAAATAGGCGGCGAACAGAAATTACCAAGAAAAGAGGATTAATCGAAACTTCCACAGAGTCAGGCTATTGACAGAGTTTCGCTCGTAATTAAATGGAATCTTAATAAAATAATCATCCCATGCGCTCGAAGCAAGAACTCAACCACCTGGTTTCCTCTGCGAATGTAATTTAAATGAAACGACTCGTATCCCGGGGCAGTTCTCGAACTAATTTGTCCAGGCTTTGCAAACACGCGCCTCGCTGTACAGAGGGACTGCCGTATTCTCGTCGAAAAGATTAATTTACGCTCGCCATATTTTTCTAGTGGTTGGAAAGACATAGACAACAATTCCAATGTATTTGTTCCAGAAAAATGTGACTCGATGCGACATAGATCGACCCTAACGGGACATCGGCGATTCGTGTTATGGTGAGTTCACACTGGGCAGAAATACACGTGTAGAAATAATCGTGTGTACACTGAATTTAGCGCACAGCTTGCAAGCAGATCACGTACAGTTACAGGTTTATTCGCTCGATGTTTGTGGGTATTTCGCTGCTGATTTCGTTCGGGTACGCATTGTACACCTGTTCGCATTATCTGTAATTTTCTAATCGTTTCATCAACCTTTTAGATATGGTACACCACTATAGCGGCTCCTTTCTTTCTTTGTCATCGATAACTATGCACATTATAGTCTAATCTAACGTAATTGCACGCAGAACGCGTCAAACCTTGCCGTACAGAAGTGTAGCTTCGAGGATAGTCCCGCCGTTGCTAAAATTTTAAGAAGATATACGGTTATCTAAGATTCAATACAGACTGAAATTTAAAAGCACAGTGATCGCCAAATTCACCAGAAACATATTAGAACGCGTTACGAACGTGTTTGTAAACGTTTTGAAGTTACGAAACGTTAAATGAATACAATATTTTTTTATTAGTTGCTACAAACAAGAATGTTTAACATTAATCGATAATTTTCGGACTTCCATACTTAAAGGTTAATTTGACTACGTTCTGTTTACGTCTAGTGAGTATTTGTATCTAGAGAAATGTTTGGAAAATAATAGTTGATGCAAACAGCAGATCTTTTCCAGATGCGTTTGCAAAGAAATGTGTCTGTATGCAAACAAGTCTGTAACTGCTTTTACTTTTCTCGCATGCTCTTTGTTGGCTCTTTGTTTAATGCCTTTTATCTGTTCCGATTTCACTTTCGATGCTAATGTACTATTCATCAATAGGGTTACAAATGATCGAACAAAACTATTATATAAACAAAGAACTGAGTTTTTATGCTTCTGCCATCCGGATAAACATCAAGCCATTTACTAACAGTACAAAATGTAACAACGATATTAATTCTGTCCTCGAATATTCCTGCTCGGTGTGAACCCAGCGTAACAGCTCCGAGTTCCGAAAAATAGCTGACAGTCGAAAGGATATGCCACGGTGCCGGGCGTTGTTTCCCCGTCTGGCGCGGTCGCGTTTTTCTGCGCGTAAAACAGGATTGAAGGGAGACAGGAGGGATTAGAATATATAGCGGGCTGGTCCCGGATGCTCGCAGTGATCGCCGGGACACGTACCGCGCGGAATATTCGACGAGAACGGATGGAAGCGGTCCGCTCGATGATCGCTGATAAACGATTCTGAAACGGAAATGGTACGGTCCGTGGTCGGCGCTGAAACCGGGTCGCGTTTTTCTTCAGAGCGAAAGAAAAAAACCCGCAACGCCGTTGGGGTGGTCCGAGGTAGGAAGTGAAAAGGAGAGGAGCAAAAAAGCGTGTAGCGAATATAATTACAGTTGGTTATCACGGAAACGCGAGGAAAGCGCGCGCGGCACGCTTAATCGACGCGACGCTCTTGAAAGTCGGCGTTCCGCGCAAATGAAAAGTAACGTCGAAAGCTTTTAAAGCGAGCCCGCCGGTGGTACCGGGCGGCGTAATGCGAAAGCGACATTTTAATGTTAAATTGCGAGCTCGCGGAAGAAGTCGCCGCGATAATTGCGCGTTCCAGAATTGTGCGGGACCCACTTTGTCGGACGCGGTGATATAACCCGCGATAGATTCA